CGCATATTTATTTTTTTAATCCATCACTATATTTTTAAAAAATCAACTTTTAATGTTGTATTTAACAAAAAACCATAGAAACTGTTTTCATAAAGTATTTAATTTTAAAGTATTCATATTTAACAAAGTATTCATGAATATGAATTTGAAATAAGCACAAAAATTGAGTATGATGGCATATTAATATTAAAAGTAACCAACCGTAGAAATACATTTTGAAGGAGCTTCAGTACGTTTTGAAATTTCATTGTGGCAACCTGATTATATGTAAAAATGGAACAACCAAATGGTATAAAGAACCAATGTTCATAGTACAAATGGCTTTATAACATTACTAATGATTTTTTTCCTGTTGATTTGTTGTAAAATATAATGTTTAGGTGCTTAATTTTTAAAAGTATAACGTAAACTTTTTCTTAATTCTTCCCTATTATCTGACATTTTTGCCCGCCTGTTTATGTCGGATAATCGAGACTCTACGGTACAGTACTGCATATGTAAAGTAATATTTTAAAAAAACCCCATATTTTACGAAAATTAGAAAAAAACCAACCTAGAAACCAAGAGAATGTCGAAAAACCCAGATCTGGGTTTTAAAAGCAAGGAGCGGTAACCCTAATCACAGCAGTGGCATATAGCCTCGTGTACTTGTTAGAGAGCGCCACTGTATGCCTCTAGTAACAAAAAATAACTTGCTACTTGTATTGTGCATCGTTTATTTATTTTTTCTTGTTAAACAATTTACATGCCATACCGTCTGCTTACTGTTTTAATAAATGGATTGTGCAAGCATTTAGCTGCATTGGCAATATTTACAAATGTTCAAGATGAGTTGCACAAAACAACAAAAATGTGGAATACCTTCTAATGCAAGCAAATATAAGAAAGGCTGTTGTGTAAATCAATTATTTCTTGTTATGATAATCAGTAATTATAACATTGTGTATAGAACTCCAAATACGAATTCAAAACCAAAACAGACTTAATAATACAATTCATTACCTGGAATAGTTTAGCTTCATTTTTATTTATTTTAAAGTTTTTTCATACATTAATTCTAATTATTTTTTTGTTTTTAGAATATACAAAATTATCGAAATGTGAGGCCAAGCCTGTAAATTATATTCTACAACATTTCAGTGACTTTTCCTGTCCAGTACTTGAATTATTAAATGACAGAGAGAAATTAAAACATAAAGTTATCAAGTAGTGGAAAATCTTATAACAGAAGTGGAAAAGAAAATAGAAAAAGAAGACATTGAAAATTTTTTTTAAAAAATACACATTATAGCAGCTATAATTGTGAAAGGCCATAAAAACTGTTTTGAAGATTATTTAGAAAGGCTTAAAACCTCACATCCAGAAATTCTACACTGATAATATAGTTTTGGATAGAATGCATGCAGCATTGGACACTTGACATCAAAAATTTTTCAGCACATTAGTAATTTTCTTAATTTATACAAATTATAAGTACAAAAGTGCACAAAATAATTCACTATACTGGAGATAAGGCTGCTCTAACACTTGAAATACTGTACTGTAAAATGGAAGTTGTTTCTACAGCTGCAACAATGTATGGAATTAAGACAGAAGAAACAGCCTGGCAAAAATTGGTACAATTACTCAACACAAAGATTTGCACAGCAGGACTGATCATAGAAGATCAAACCGGATTGGCCTCATCTTTGGATGGATGGATTTTTAAAAATAATTCTGTGATAATTGTAAAGTGACCATTTTCAAGAAGGGAAAAAAATCACTTGTAGATTTTAATCAAAACCAAGGATTTGTTCCTTATTTAGAACTTAATAATCTAAGTTTTAAAAAAAAAATATCAGTATTATATACAAATTCAAATTAGTATGTATGTATCAGGCTGTGATTTTTATTTTTTTTTGTATTTTCTCACATTCAATGTATTAACATATTGGTAAAAACTGATCATGAATTTTTTAGTAGCAGCATTCCCATATCAGAAAGATTTTATTTTGAATATTTATTACCTTCATTAAGAAATGAAAACAATTAAATAATATAACATTAATTATTTGATCTGACTTAATAACAGTTGGCTGTAATTTACCAAAACACTACAAATATGAACAATGTCAATGTAAGGAATTAAATCAACATTAATTCTTGAATTTACTATATTAAATAACTTAATTCTTTGTATCACACATTCAACATGTATTCTTACACTGGTAATTTTGTTTCTTGCATTTCATTTGTTGTAAATTGTAGCTGATTTGGATTAGCAAAAGGATGCATTGCTTGTTGTTACATGCAGGCTTTGGATATAAAACTAATTAATCTGGCTGGAGTTATCCCAATTAGAAACTTAATAGTGCATGCACTTTTAAAAGAGGAGTACATAAATACTTGCTGCTAAACAGTTTGAGGTTTCTTAATTTTGACTTCTGTGCAATTGATAATAACTAACAATTTGATTAATTTTTCTTGAAACATTCAGGCATTGTAGCCTGTACTTCAATACAAGTTGGTCAAAAAATCCAATTCTTTGTTGCAGTACATAAGTCGGTCAAAACTGCGTTAAAGTAACTGGACAGTTGTGCAGTGCAATCCAAATAAATTTCCAAGGAAAGCAAAAGAAATTCCAAGTTTTAATTTCATAAGGAATAGAGTTAATTTGGCTTCATTTCTTAATGAGTCTTGATGATTTGATTATAGCAAACATGAAAGCAGCAAAGTAAAAACTCCTCAATGAACTGTCATTAACTCCTGATAAGATTTTTTTTTTATCATTCTTAACTGTATCATATCCTAAAAATACACTTGCTCTATAATTATTACCAAAAGATAATAGAACATGAACCACTCTTATGTGATTAGCTGATTTTCCATCTTTAAAAAAAAAAAAAAAAAAACCCTTTCAAATGACAAAAGTTGACAATTTAACATCTGATCATCAGTTTGACATGCAATCTAATGAAAAATAAAAAGATTAACACATTTACATTATATGCTGATCTTTATATATAAATATTATATAATTTACATGCTACATCTATAATTGAAGCTTGATGATCCAAACTTGAGCTGTGTGTGCTCAATCTCAAGTATTACACCACTGGGAGATTTTTGGACTTGTCTTCCTTCCCTGCAGTTTATTTTGTATATCTCAAATATACGTTGCTTTTGTCAAGTGAATTTTGATTGCTCTCTTAATCAATGTGCCAAATTCATGGGATTGTAACTTGGATGGTTCTTTTGTTACTGCATACATTTCCAATAAAATATTGACTGCAAATTCTACTATGTTTAGATGGTTACCACACCGACCCATCAAGACTAAAATTAAAAATATATATATTTATGCATTATACATAATAAGAAATAAAATAAATAGAATAATAAACAAAATAATAGAAAACTGTATTAAATATAAAGAATTTAACAGAACATTTATATGCTTAATGTATTTAATGTAAACATAAATATTTAAAGTTTATTAAGCTAACAACATATCCAAAGAAATGAAACTTACTTTTTCCTACGTGTAAACAAGATCCATTTTCATTGTCTCCCATTTATGATTTGGAAATCTATAAAATGATTCTTTAGGCATAACATTTCTACAGTTTGCATAAATATTGTTACAATCTTATACAGAACAATTAGTATTAATCATTTCAATAAAAAAAGTTTTTGTACATGAAATCAATCAGAATTCACACCAATTTTGTAGAAATTGGCCTTGAAAGTGTGCTGTAAGACACAAATGCATGAGGCCTATAGGATATAACCTTGGAAATAATCATGCTCAACAGTATTGCAGATTCATCTCTTGCTCTGGTTGCAAACCTTTGAATATTGATTTCCAAGGTCTAATTATCTATGTCAAATTAGATTAAAGCAAAAATTCGGATTTACGAATTTTGGCATTAAAGAATGTTTCACCAGAGTAATTTTTATATATTCTGGCAGTATTATTTACTACATAAACAATTGTAGTAATTGGTATAATTAAACCATAATTTTATGATTACAGTAGAGCGTCATTATCCGAAAGAATTCCAGTCAGCAAATTTAAATTTTCGCCAATGTTGTGGCGCTGCAATCTTTGGCTATGTCTTGGGCTACTCAAATATTTTACGTTTTTGATACTAAATTAACTTCTGAAGTATAAACTTTTTATTGTTTTTATATTTTTCAATATATTTATTTTGTTTGTACAAAATAAAAAAATAATTTTTAACGATACAATAGTCTTCGTTAGGCTTAACATCGACGAAAATTCAACGCGAAGCGACACGCAACGGAGAAAAAAGTCAAGATGGGATAAATTAATATATTTTTCCGTGCACAATCGGTTATTTGAAACATCGATATTCCGAACCACCAGTCTCCAATTGATTCGGATAATCGACGCTCTACTGTATAAGTGATTTGGAAAAATGGTGAATTAAAAACTTGATATCTTTTCTTTGCTGTTTCTTCCAATCAAAGTTCAAGTTTAAGAAACACTGGAGTATAATCACGAATGGACGACAATGATGAAAATTAGTAGTAGTACATAGTGTTCCCCATTTTCATCCATTTTGGCAGTGCATCATGTAGATCAGTGGTCCCCAACCCCCGGGCCGGTACCGGTCCGTGGATCAAATGGTACCAGGCCGCCCAAAGAACATTAAATTATTTCCATTTTATTTACTATGGTGTATTTGTCTCCGGTTTGTGCGACTTTTAATAGGCGACGGAACAGTGGAATAAACTGAACATAAGAAACACACTTCGAGTGTCATTATCTTCTATTATCCCCAGATGGAACTGTCTCGTTGCAAAGAAACAAGCTCGGGGTTTCTCATTGATTTAGCTTTCTAGTGAGTTAAAATATTAAATCACGTTATATTCATTTTTTGGTGTAATTGTATTTTATTTTGAAGGCACGTTTAAATACAGTTAAATTAAAATTATTAAATTAAATCAATCTAAAATATGAACAATCAATGTCCCCCCTCAGTGGGCCGCGGTAAAATTATCAAACGTTGACCGGTCCGCGGCGATAAAAAGATTGGGGACAGCTGATGTAGATGATTCAGATTATATCCGAATCCGGATTCCTAATAGGATAAGTTCATTATTGCCAAATTACAAGAATAACTTAATTTTCTGAAACTATGCTTTAATATTAAGAGGAGAAAACGTAATTCTAAAATGAAGATAAAATTTAATGAAACGAGATTCATAGGAAAATTTATTTATGATATTTAAACAGCAAAATGAACATTTACCCTCTTGAAGATCTAATTTAATTTCATTTGGTATTAACTTAAACCTATTTTTCTGTTGTTATTCAAATTCTTAATTTTATAATATATTCAAAACTTAAGCTACAATGATAAATCAAATTTAATAAACACACATTACATAGTTTAGCCCAAGTAAATCATTCAGGGCAAATTGTGCTCTGAACACTAGATCACAAACATTTGTTCTTCAGTAAAACATGACTAATGTTTCAGTATATACTTTCACTACACACTGAAACACATTCTGTGTCCTTGTAAATAATAAATAAGAATTAAACATAAATTGTAATATGTTCTGTTGTCTGTCAATATAACCTTTATATTTCACAATGACATATTTCAAATTTATTTTGTCAATTTTCAGATCCATTGCTAAACTATTTCAGATTTTCCTTTTTAAAATGTTAAATGAATTGGAGTCAAGACAAACTGCATTATGTACTTATATTTAATATTTCTGATTCCATAAAACAAGGTGTAAAAGAGTGAAATGAACACAGAAATCATTTGACACTTACACCAACTATACAAACTGATAAGATTCATTTGTTTTATCTGTAGACACAATTGACGAAAATAAAAGCTCTTCACCACAGTAAGACAAAAGCAACTGAATACATGTAAAAGTGAACACTTAATATATATATTTATATATATAATTTTTTCCAATCAGTGCGCTACACTGTATGTACAATGACAACTACAAAAATGCTGATGGTTATTTGTACAAAATGAAACATGACTCTCCCTAATGAGATTCAAGGAGGGCAGGAGAGATTTATCATTAATGCCAAAGAAGTTAACATTACTAATGTCATCAAAATTTCTTCAAGGCACTTTTAACCCTTTATATATATATATATATACATATATATGTGGGTGTATATATATATATACATATATATATGGCTTGGCCAATATACAATGTTCATGATTTTTGAACAAGATATCCCAAATTCTGAAGAATAGATTAAAATATGTTTTTTTTACAATTCAAATAATGTTGACATTCATGATAAACATAAGTTTGAACATTCTGTTTCTTATGGTTTATTTTATAAATACCACACAATGATGGTATTGTTAATGCATATTTAATAAATATTGAAATTATCATAAAGCATATTCCCTAAAAATAGGTTCAATTATGCTTTGTGCCAATTCATTTTGTTAAAAAAAGAAAACTGATATAACTATTTTTCAGTACTAGTAACAAATGATGATTAACAAATTAGGAAAATTTATATTACACTAACTCATAACATTCAAATTAAGAAAACTATTCTTAAATCACGTAAATCAAGTTCATTACAAACTCTAGTAGTTTTGATTTCCATATTGTGCTACTGAACTTAAATTCATGAGAATATAAACATGATTAGCGATATAAATTTACAGTTTAATCAATGGATTAAAACACGACCATTTGACATTTATAGGATCAAGTCAATAACACGGTGCTGGACCTCGTTCTCAATCTTTTTGATGACCGAGTACTTATGACAGAAGCAGGTTTCTTTGATTTTTTCGTCTGTAAATTCACATTAGTTTTAGCAACGTTCATCCAATGTGTTGAAGGATGACGAATTGTCTTAGAAATATTACTAGAAATGTTCCGACACTTTTTAGCTGCAGAACTAGAAGTCTCAGAATCCCGACAACAAGGACAAGATCGCTTCATGTGAGAGTTAGGTGATTGTCGAGGACGAGTTCTTTGCCGTAGTAATTTTGATGATTCTGATTTTCCATCTGTGTCCGTTTCTTTGCAAAGATGATTCTCCTGTTTAGAAGTATCTTTATGAGCTTCTGATACGTTAACTTCTTGCATATGTGGTTTATTATCAATGTGTAATAAATGTGCTACTAATTTGCTGACTTCGCTATCAACTGCATTATCTGAATCATTAACTTTATTCTTGTCCAAATTACTTTTTGGTTTGAAATTATTACACTGTTCGACGTCTTGATTTTCATCAGAATTAGATTCATTCTTCACATTTACATCCATTGCACAATCTTCTTTAGGAAAGTCTTCACATGCTTTTGAGGATTCATCTAGCATTTGTTTTAGGTTTACTTCACATTTAGTTCCATTATTTTCCTTCTCAGACACACTTTTAGTTTCAGACACACTTTTAGTTTCAAAGTCATTGTTTCTAAGTGAAACTGATTCAGATTCACTTGTTTTCACTGATAATTTCAGAGGATCAATAAGATTATTGTTCACATTATCAGAAGAAGAAACTGTTGTATCTTTTGTCATCTGATTATCATTTTCCTTCTCAGCTTCACATCTAAAATCAGAATTAGTAAAGGACGGATTACTGGAGAAATTGTTTTGCAAAACACAAGGCAATGTCTTGGAAACATCAAAACTTTCATTTTTTGAGTTACAAATCTGATTATTTTTTCTATTAACACTGTCAACACTAGAAGATTTTATATCAAAACTATCTTTTGAATGGATATTCAAATTCATTTCTTGTATATTTTCAGGATAAGTTCTTTGATTCCATTCTGTAGAGGATGAAATGTTTGAGTGTGAACACGAAGAAATACTAACAGTATCTGAAACATATGCAGAATTCGGGCTTTTCTCTGCTGCTGATGAATGATTTAATATTGCAGAAGAAACACTGCATTGAGTATTTGGTTGATGGAAAGCGTTAAAGTTAGGAAATGCAATGTCTATTGCTGGTAAAGCAGTATTTTGAACTTCAGAAGATTGTACTGAATCAACTGTTTTAAATGTTCTGGACTGAGATGTTGCTGTTGATGGTATGCTTACTGCTTCTTTTACTTCATTTTTAATTGATGATTTTTCTGGCATATTTTTTGCAGCATTTTGTACTTTAACAGCTTCAAATATCTGAAAAATTTTTTCTGGTGTGTCTCTTGCATGTACTTCAATCTGATGAACACTTTTGTAATGTCTTTTTAAACTATACTGATGTGAAAGACGACTCGAGCAAAGACAACATCCATATTTCTTTTCTGCTTTGTCAGCTTCAGTTTCATCATTTACATCTTTAGAATTCTCAGGTGATTGCTTTTTTTCATTATTGTTATTCTTCATAACTTTACTTCGCTGATAAAATGACTGATTTTTTATTGATTTATAATTCCTATTATTCATATTAGAGGGAAAATTTCCTTTGTTTTTCATTTCATTGAATATCTGGCCCATCATCAACTGTACTTCTCGTTCTGTTGTTTCATTATCTACTTTCAATTTGGTATTTGAAGCACGATTCTTTTTGCAGGAAATTTTTCTCTTGTTGCAATTATTTGAATCACTCTTGGGATTTTTATACACTGGAACTGGAGGTTTATACACATGTTTATCTTCTTTATCTGCAGCATAGTTGGAATGGCTATTGCTTACAGGAAACATTTGCCTTGCTATTGTTTGTTCATTATTTGTAGTAGTATAAGATCTTGTGGAAGTGTTATACTGATAAGACTGATCTATTGGTAATGGCTGTTGCATATTCTAGGGGGAAAAAAATTATTATTAATTTTAAAACTTTTAGTTAAAAATTATATAATGCTATTTTTTATTATTACTTCACTAAATATTCATATTAGAAACTGTAGAAATAGTGAAATTCTGAATATTTAAAAAATAAATAAATAAAAATATACATAGGTACAGTAATATCCTCTAGAATTCTTTTTTCTTCAAACTGTTTCAATTTTTAGTATAAAATTTCACAGAATATATGGATCACTCAATACAAAGTTTTTCAAATCTATGTTTACATAAACTTATATTTACATCCAAACATTTTTAACAAAAGAATGTATGGAAAAAGCCTTGTGCTACATTCCAAATATAATTTTTAGAATGTCAACATCAGAAAGACAGACAGACATTTTAAGCATGCTTCATCAACTTTCTCAAGCTTCATGTCTCTACCTAAGTAATTAACATTAAATACATATTACTATTCACTAGTCCATTACAAGAAAATATAATCATCCCTTGTGTGATTAGATCCAGAGAAAGTATTGAAATATTTATGCATATATTCTTATCTTATTATATTAATAATACAGGATCATAGTACCTATTGATAAAGAAAATATAAATTTGTGTTTGTTTTCTTCCTATTAAGTTTTTCATTGCTGTACATTATTTGCCACACATTATAGTAAGCATTTATGGTACAGAATGTAACTATATAAATAAATTCAAAACCTTTAAATAATCCAGCAAAAGGTTTTGAATTTATTTATATAGTGTAGTCCAGTAAGAAAGTATTTTATTTATTTATGAATGTAACTATACATGTAACTGCACATGAAGAACTGTTTGTTAAACTTATGAACTGTTTTGTGATCAGAAAACAATGTTTTAAGCATTTTCTATCTTAAATGATAGTTTGTTACTTAAATATAGGCATTTTGTGTTTTAATTATGTTGAATATTGATTGGAGATTTTGAATTGGTATTGTGATAGCTCTCAGTGATGTTTTCATGCAGAAAGTCTGATTTTTAGGACTGGATCACTGACATTAAGCAAATAATGCAGATTTATTTATTTTAGGAAGAATTTAAAAAATTTAAGGAATAACAATTTTTCTTAATCCATGAAATAATTTATTTTTCTAATAAAATTTCTTCATAGAGCATAATAGTAACTTAAATAGTTAATTAACCCAAACTGGAATAATGTTATTATTCTCTGTATCTTAAAACATTATAATAAAGTCCAGATTTAAGTCAAAATAAAGTAGAAAAATACTATATTGAAAAATATAGCATTTTTCTAATTTGACTGGTTTTAAGCTGATTAATATTTAATTATAAACAAATTTCACATTAGTGAAAGGCAATACTATTATTTCATAAATGCTTTAAATGATAATTTTTTTTCTAGTCATTGAAATTTCTTTATTAGCATAAAGGGAATTGTCCCTGTTGCAGGGAGTTGTACAAAGTGGTATTATAAATTTATTAAATGATCATTTTTAAATACTACAGTAAAGTAAGATTCATTTCTAGAATTAACATACTATGCAGATATTCTATTAGTTATGTCATCTGAACATCAAACACAAATTGTTCTCCAGGCATATCAGAATTTAGACCTTAACATATAACTCTGGTAATTATATTGCATTATGTAAATTGCAGATATTTAATTGGAGATTAAAAAGTATAAATTAATTTCATTATGATTGTAATTAATTAAACTTAAAAAATAACACAATGAATAAAACACTGACACTTTTTGAGTTAGGATATAGTTTTTTTATGGATAATATAATAGTGGATTTATTAATCACTTTATTAAAATTGAATTATTGAAATTATTATGTTTTAAACTGTCTGGGAAAAACTACTTTAGAATATTGTAATAGGCATTCATATTATCAATTTCACCATTGATTAAATATTCTCCATTTCCAATCTTATCAGGACATCAAAGAGTTTATGCTTTTGATCAATAAAATGTTTTCACTTTGAAAATACTTAATTTTTAAAATTATGTAACTGTTTAAAAAAAGCCTACAAATACTTCTTAGCCTAATTTAAAAGCCAATTATATTAAGACTAGAACTGTAGCAACCAAATTAATTTCTCCAACTTTCTCAGTAGAGAGTGCATTTTAGAGTTCATTTTGAACTCTAAAATGAAAAAGTACTTTTGAAGAAGAAAACTCAAAATTACTTCCTCAAGGAAATCAAAACTATTACAGTGGCAGCATAATATAATTATAACACCATATATTGTAAACACATGCTGCTTGACATCTCTTGCAGCTTATGGTTTTAGTCAAATTTTCTTATCTTGAATGTAAAAAAACAAAAAAACTACACATGCTACAGAAGTTATTAATCAGATCAAATTAAAGAATATAATGAAATTCTGAAATGAAAATCAAATTCTGTAATTTTTAATTAAGAATTATAGCAGCTTAGTTCTAGCCTAAAAATAACCTAGCTTTTAGATATGTTTAGTTAGTAAAACTTGGTTATAGTTTATGTTTATAACTTATCTATAAATATTTTTTGTTTTGTTTATTTAAAAATTAGCATTTACAAAGTAATATCAGAACTTTTATTGAAAAATATATTATATTTTTGTCATATTATTTTCAACAAAATAATTAATATTTAATTTAAAATAAAATAAATTTTTTCTCACATCAACTTTAAATTATGGGTGTTTTTTCCCAATTACAAACACAATAAGTCATTTATATAAATTTTTTATGTTTAATTTTATTACAAAAACTACTAAAAAAACAAAAATTTCATTGAAATTTTTAAATTAAATTTTACTTACTTCATTTTTTAATCTGTTTGTATTATTTGAAACAAGCATGCTTAATTTTGCAGCTTCAGAAGGCGGTGCATTTGATGATTGCATTCCTTCTAAATAGTTGCTCTTCTTTGCTTGATAATCTGGAGAGTAATGAAAAGAATAATCCTTTGGTGCTACTTTTAAATCCAATGAAGTTTCTAAAGATTCTCTTTTAAATGTCTCATTAATTTCACTAATTATATGATCCTGATCTTTAGCATAAGTATGAGATATTTTAGAAAGAGAAGAAATGATTGAACTGAAAGGTCCAACAACTGCATTTTTTCTTATATTTGAATGAGGCGTATTTGATAAAAGATGTGATATTAAGGGACTAGACTTGGAGGATATGGTAGATGATGAATGATTTTCTGAAGAAGCAGAACTGAAATCATTTGTTACATCTTGTTTATCAGTCTTACTTAAATTATTATAATTATCTTTTACTGGTGTTTGATATGGCTTTTTATCATTATTTGATCCTGAAGATGTTCTTCGACTGCTTAAATCCTCAGGCGATGGATTTTTGGGTAAAGATAAATTTATTGGACCAACATCTGGTTCAACTGATTCTTGATAATTAATCAATGGTAATGGAATAGCTTGCATTTTTGTGGTATTTGCTTCATTTGAATTTGTTGTACCCAATATATAATCACTGCTTTTTGAATTATTTTCGTATGTCATCATGGAACTCTCAGAATTAGAAAAAAGTGATGCATTAGAATTTACTATATTTGATGACGTAATTAATTCATTAATTAGGGTTTCATTAGTTGAAAAATTTGCCTGAGTAGTTAAAATTATTCCTGATTTTGATTTGGAGCTTTGAGGCTTTTGAGACATTTTAATTAAGTTGTTTCCTCTGTCAGCAACCTTACGCCACTCAATGGATCCATGAAGATTTCTTACTGATGCCCATATACGTTTTTGTTTTGATGAAGTATTTGATCCATTTTCCTTCAAAGTCTTTTCTTCTTCATTAATTTCATTCTGAACATTTTTCATTACAAACACATTAGGAATTGAAAGCATACGGCTTTTATTAGCATTATTGACATTTTCTGTTGTTCCAGCAGTGGAAGTTATAGGTGGAGTTGATGCACTAATTGCTTTCTGAAGAGTATTAACAGGTATTACAAGTTTACCTGAAAGTACTTTACTGCCAGTACTATTTTGTACTCCTACTGGCAATGGAATTGTAAGTGTAGCAACAGGCATTGGAACTATTCCACTTGCTTTATCAACCTGTAATCTGATTTTGTTGGAAAGATTACTCACAGGCAACTGAATTTTTGAATTATTACTATCTTCACTCTCTTCAGTTTTCTTGCTATTTTCAACATCATTTTTACTTTCTAGATTTTCATTCACTTCAGTTTCATTAATATTTAACTTTTGTTCTGTGTTAATATTTAACGATGATTTTTCATATGATTGAAGTGAAGACACATTTTCATTGATAGGCTGTGAAATAGTTAAATGATCAGCTGTTGAATAATTTGGCTCTCTCCCATCTAATGCTTTATATAAGTGACTATTTTTTAAAATTCCAGATGATGGTTTAGCATATGAAGATGGAAATTTAACATTACTGGTTTCATTGCAAATGGTGTCATTTTCATTACCTAAAATTGGTTTTTTCCCTACAACTTTTTGTAATGAGTTTAATATATTGTCAGGATTAGATAAAAAACTAGATGATAATGCAAGTTCATCATAATTTGGATCAATTGAACTTTTCTCCAAGTCAGATTTATTTAAATTTTGAATTTCTTTTCCTTTGGTGCAATGAAAATTGAATTTGTTATTAACTCTTCCACCTTTCATGGCCAATTTGTCTGAAAGTATATCTGACAGAACAACTACAGGATTTCGAGTCTGAGATGCATTTGATATAATTTGAGACACATCTTCACTTGATTTTGGTGGAGCTGGAACATTTGAATTTGATTCAGAAAGAAATATCTTAACTTTGTGATTAGACATATTTGCCAAATCTAAAGTTGCAATATGGGATAATGAACTCATATTAGATTTAGAGTTATCTGTATCATTGCTTTTTACTTTATGAACTATTATCGTTTGAGTGTCATCTGTATTTTGCTTCTTCGAAGATAATTCTCTATCCTTTTCTCTTTTAGTTTTTCTTTTCTTTTTCCTCTTCTTCATTTCTTTATCAAGATCATTGTCAACTGTAGCAAAATTTGAAATTTCAAACACTTCATTTTCTTCCACATGATATTTTTGCTTCTGTTGTGTTTTAGATTTTACTACTTTACTAAGTTCATTTTTGAGTGGCTCTTTATATAATTGTTGAGTAACAGTCTCTTCAACCTTTGATGTCTTACTTGAAATATCATCATCACCTTCTGAAGGAGAGTCCATTTCACTATCTGCACTGTCATATGATGATGTCTGTTGAAATAATTTCCTTGCATTTATATACTTTTCTAAATAGATTATGCAGTTCTTTCTTGTATCTTCCCAACGTGTCTCTAATTTTAACTGCCAGTCTCTCGTACATTCTAATACTGTTACAAAATCTTTCAAAACTGTGTATGGAACTTCTCCAAGATCACTATCTAGAACTAAATGAGGAAAATGGTAAGTGTAGATAGGTCGTTTTTCTTCTGAATCATTTTGAAAGTTATTAGATCTTGATGCAACTAAATATTTTCTATCACATGTGCATTCACAATATTTATCATTATTATTACCACTATTAGTTTCTTCAGCAGTTCTTTTACACAGTTTTGCACACTGACTATTCTTTAAAGATAATTTTTCATGTAGATGTTTTAATTGATCTAATTTTTCTGTTGAAGGATTAAATGAAAATGCAGTCAATAAACATTCAAATGCTAATTCATCATACTTCCTAATAAAAAGAGATGCTAATTTGGTGAATATAAAATCAAAATGGGATTCAATTTCTACAACTGCTGAATTTACAGATCCTCTAATAATTTCAAAATAATTCAAGTCTGATGTTAATCCTCTTATATACATTTCCAAATATAATGGCAAGAGTGACACTCCAAACTGCAAACAAAAATATATATACAATTAGAACAATTATCTGAAAATTTATTTTTTAGTAACTTAAATTTATAAAAAAAATAAATTTAGTTAATAACTAAAATATGTGAAATCATTGAAAGTTGTTATTTTTTAAAATAATGACATTAATATATAATCTTCAAAATAGTAATATGTACATATAACTAACTACATTTATAATAATGAAGATATAGGTATTTGCATTTCACTATTGGCAAAATAAGCAAATTCATCATTTTTTATTTTTTTGAATAAACATAAATTTTATATATTCAATAAATATTTTGGCTTAAAAATTTAGAATGCTTCCAGTTAATTATTTATTATTTTTGCTCATAGAATATTCTCAGGCCTTGGAACAGAAAATGACTTCATATTAAATTAGAATAATAACTCCCAGCAAGGAAAAAGTGACTAAGCATTGACAAATAAAATTACAGTAGAGAGTCGATTTTCCGAATCAATTGGGGACTGGGGTTGTCCGGATAACTGATTTACGTACGAAAAAATAGTTTAACCTATTTGATGTCGGAATTTTTATGCGTTGTGTGTCGCTTTGCGTTGAATTTTCGTCGATGTTAAGCCTAACAAAGACTATTGTATCGTTAAAAATTATTTTTTTATCTTGTACAAACAAAATAAATATATTGAAAAATATAAAAATAATAAAAAAATTTTACTTCAGATGTTAATTTAGTATCAAAAACGTAAAATATTTGAGTAGCCCAAGACATAGCCAAAGATTGAAGCGCGACAGCACTGGCGAAAATTTAAATTTGCCGACTAGAATTCTTTCGGATGATTGACTTTCGGAAAATCGACGCTCTACTGTAGTTGGTCATTACAGATAATATACATTATTTGTAAGGAGTTGAGTCCAAACGTTATTTTATATTTATGGGTTTTGTTTCATTTGACGTCATAATTTACTTTGAGAACATTTTCTTTTGTTTAAAAGACAATAACATACTTTCATTATTAACTAATAGTAATTTATTTATATTTATTTTTACATTTATTAATTGGAACTGTCAATGGACAAGAGATTTCCACTCCAAATAAAGAAATCATACTTTGTAATTATGACCAGAAAATACCACAAATCCAGCTTTCCAGTTATTGGCACTGTTTGCTGCAGTGACATAATTTAGAACTAATGCTCGGACAGGATCTAGACATTTGTGTGCATTTCATGCTTCAGCATAAATAGTGTCATGATTATACATTCTGGTTTGAAAAGTTTGTTTTTGTGTGTTTTTCCCTATTGCATTTACATAAATACAGTCTTACAGCAAAAATTCAAATAGATGCCAGTCTCTGGTGAAACTGAAACCAAAACTCGAGAATTTCTGATTTTGTTTTTGAGTGCATGGTAACTAAGTTGGTTGACCAAAATTAGCAAAAGGGTTTGGTAATTATCATTTGATATATCTGTATATTTTGATCTGTTCTTTACTCAGTTTCTTTATTTTTTGTAGAACATAACCATAGGTTAATATGCTCTGGGTTGCTCAGCCAGTTCGATAATTAAACATGGAAAGCATCTATTAGAAGATATATGGCATGTATAAAATGTAATGTAAAAAATCACCTATATATTTACTGTTCTTTCTAATGAGTTATCTTCTTAAATTTTGCAAAATAAAACTTTTAATTGGTTAAAATTATTAATTAAAAAAGTTTTAGTCACAGAATTATTAAAATTTAAAACAAGACATTTCATTAAATACAAAATCCAGAAACAAAATGTATAACTTTCCTGCAACAACATGACAACGTAATAGAACAAATTTAAAATTAGTTGACCGGTGCCATCTGTTACAAGATTTTGTTAATAACTTTTAAATTATTAATAATTACAAAACTGCAAATAGTCTAATTTTGAGGGTAGAGACAAGTTTTATATAAAATTATAAATGCTAATAATGAGTAAAATCATAAAGTCCAATTCCATTCAAGTTATGACACACAATTCTCCTTTCTATCTTCCCACTCCTTGATCTATAACCATCAAATTTAATAGCATCAATGCCCTTTATACATAAGCACTGCACTAAATTTAGTTTTTTAATCATTATCCCATCCTGAGACATTAAACAAAATAGATGCCAACACAAATGGGATTTTTTTTTTGGCCTTTTTGGATTCAGATCTCAAAATGTGGAAATTTGCAAAAAACTCTGAGTATCAAACTTGACACAATTCCAGTACTTACTCATGTTATATACATAAGCTGGGAAAATAAAACACTATTTTTATTTATTATTCATCAATAAATCCTGTAATCTGTTACAAAGCTATAAATTTATTAAATTGTTCCTTAATAAACTTTCCAATTTTATAAAATATTAACAAACTTAAAAAAAAATTTCACCGGTTAATTTTTTAATTTTTGTCTTAATAATTTTGATAGTTAACAAAATTATTTAAAAAAAAGGATAATTAAACATAATTTAAAAGGACACTATCATTTTTTGCACTTGGTTTGCATTTTTAGACTGGTTTATTAACACCTGCCCTTCAAATTGAAGGTGTGAGGGTTAATTGTGATGGGTTTGGAAATAAAATACTGTACTTTGAAAAAATTTTTTGTTGATGCTAGACTGTGCACTCTCAAATTCATGATATTGCATTACTAGTATTTTTAAGACCTCAAAAAGTCATGTAATAACATGAGTTTTGAATGTGCAACAAGAGAAAGACATTATGGGTGTCACAATTTAAGTATTTAAACATTAATTAATGAAGTAACATGTGACAGCTTGGAGTCACAAAAATGTTTTTGCCATAATGCAGAAAAGTGAGAAATATTGATGTATAGCCAAAATATTTGAGATAAAAAGTGACTAATTTAATAGTAGTGAGAACAGTGATCAGTTTCAAGGCCTGTATTCTAGAAAACATACTACAGCATATAAATTTCAGAACTTATTGATTTCCACTTATTAATTAATTTAACATTTAAAATCAGTCTATTTAATATATAAAAGTTATATAAAATATTAATTAATATAATATTGTAAATGACATTATAAATATTTGAAGGATTATACAATAGACTCTCTTGTTCATTATTTCATATATCCTCCACATTTCATACATTTAAAAATATTAGTTCACTTAGTTAAAAATTTATATAATGGGATTCCTTTTTCTAAGTGAATTAATATTTGATTGCAAAGTTATTTATTACACTTACTTCAGAATAAAAATATCTAATTTTAAAAAATTAAAATGCTATATTACAGTCGTATTTATTATTTTAACTTATACTATTTGGTGGTGTTGTGGATGTGACATGTATCCTACTCAGCTTATATTCTCATGCCTAATGATATGTCAAACCAGAATCAAGGCATAAACACAATAATTTTTCTGTAATTATATGCTGTTTATGTATCTATGTTTAAGACTTTCTTGATTGTGTAACAGTTTTTAGTATGGCAGCTTTCTGTAATGTGATGTATTTGGTATAATGTCTGTGCAAGAAAAATTATAGATAACAATAAGTACAGTACCTTTCCACTTTCCACAGACACTATTTTGGACAGTGTTCTGAGCATTTGCTAATTATTTAATAATAATTTTTACTAAGTATTTACTAATAATGCAAATGTACAGTATTTTGCATATTGTGGATGTTTGAAACAGTTATATCTACAATGTATGTGATTTTGTTTTGTTTGTCAATGAAAGAGACGTCTGATCTGTTGTTATAAAATTGTTTTGTCTGTGATTATGACTTTGCAAACATTTAATTTCCAAAAGACAATTGATCACTGGATATATAAGAAGAATAAACACATTACTAAAATAGTTGATAAAGTGACTATAGTTTAATTTATTATAAAACATGCTCTCATGTCTTCATAATCATATGTCATTTCTGTTCTATACATTGCTTGACTACATATGTTTATATTATAAAAAGTTGCAAAATTTGACTTAAATTTACACTGATCTGAAAGCCCCTTTCTCTGCACAATCATAGACTTTTACCATGGGTGTACCACACTCAAAAATTTCTGGCTACATCCCTGACATACAAAAATATAACATTTAAGAAGAATGTTTGAATTTGATTTTCAAAGAAAATTGGATATAGTATTTGTTTATGAACTAGGGGGAAAAAATCTCTAGTTTTTCTGAAATCTGGAATCTATTGTCTAGAGTTTAATCTCAAACCTGCATTTAAGATTTTACTTTGACTTTAACTATTCATATGTTATTTATTAAATAAATAAAATAATAAATACATAATAAAATAAAGCACAAATACTCATTAAAAACGTTTTAGCATTAAAGTTGTATTTTACATACTTTGACCTAAAAACATCAAAATAACAGCATTAATCATGTTTAAAAAGTTTTTAATTTTTTAAACATCAATGTAATGTAAGGAGTCAGGAGTTGATATGTTTTCTGTTCCTGACTCCTGGAAAAAGATTCAACTCCCAACTCTGACTTTCCATCCATACTTTTAACTGTTTTTTACATAAATCAATGTTTTATGCCTCTAGTTATGAAAATGAAAACTTGCAGTTATGTATGACCACTTTACAAACAGAAAAAGTTTATTTTCTTTGTAATTGTTGTGCAAGTATTTTTTATTACATAATGTAGTTTAATATGCATGCACTATCAGTTGTCCTACTCACCATGGAGAGGTTATAATGTAATCTTCAGAGATTTCAATAATGATGTTTATGTGAATAGCCTTGGTATGAACCTTTATTGAGCAATGGGACAAAGTGTGCTTCTCAAATATTTTCAAGAAAATCAAAGTTAAAAATTTCAATAACTTATGAATAAGCTTTGCTAAAGATTTTATCAAAGATCATATAGTTTAGCAGCAGCAGCAGCAGCAATGTTGTTGTTGAGACTATATAATAAATCACATTTTGCTGTAATCTTTTAGTAGATACAGACTACTTAGGTTGACATAACCAAATAGCAAATGTAACACATCAAAAACTTACATGCAAACTATTATGCATCCAGAAACCAATACTTCAAATACAAACACCACACAAAATATAAGAATTGTTGTACAGGTTGCCCTTCTACAACAGTTCTCATAATAGCTGGTTAAGCAATTACACACATTAGTTTTCACAATCTGCATTTGTGAAAAGGTTCTTTCACAAGTAGCAGCGTGAAGTGGAATAACTCTAGCATTGAGCTATTTTGCACATGTTTGGAAATAAGGTTTTTTAAGTCACATTACAACAAAAATATTTCACCAACTGCAGTTTTTTCTTATGGTGATCAGTGATAAACTGCTTGAGATTTTGTTATAAAATTTTTTTATATTTTTAATTATTATAAAATAGCTGAAAGCATAATTTTCAGAGTAGAGACGAGTTTTATAAAAAATCTGTAAATGCTAACAACAAATAAAATCATTACATCTTATTCCACATGAGATAAGACATGTAACACCCTTCTCTCTCTCCATCCCCTCCACCTTTCAAAACCAAAATTTATTAGCACCAATGCCTCTTTTCTATCATCATCATTACCCCATCAAGAGACATTAAATGGAATAGATGACAACACACACACACACACACATACACATGCATAGAAAATTTTCCCCATATTTTGACATCTCTGGGTTTAGAGGATCTGAAAACATTTTCAGAATTCGGAGGACCAAATTTGACACAATTCCAATACTTTCCCTTGTTATGTATACATAACAGCCGTAAAAGTAAAATACTTGTTAATTAAAATAAGTAAAAATACTATTTTTGTCAAAAGGTTTATTATAACCAGCTTCACTTCTATTAAACAAATTACTAACCTACTAGTAATGTTTTAGCGAAAGAAATCAGGAATCTGAGTTAATTTTAAAAATACTGACTTGGAAATATTGTACTTTTCCACCAACTGCCCATTCCTGGTTAAAAGAAGTTTCTATTGTAATTAACTTTTAATGTACTTAAGATGTTAATAATAATTTGTTTATATGAATTCATTTCAGTGTAATGTAAATTATGTCTAATATAACATTTGATTATTTGTAATTATATAGGCATCTACTGAAATATAATTGTAAATAATGTTTATTACTATAAACTTTTTATATACTTCAACAGCAGTCATGACTAAACATATCAAAATTTACAAATGACACTATAAAAGTTTACTTACTTGATCCCATAATTTATCTGCAAACAAATAGAAATAGGCACTGGATGATGCATGGCACATTAAACGTTGGGCTGCATTACTTATTTCTTGTATATTTCTTTTTTGAATTATTTGTAATTTACACCATAGTGCCATTAAATCCTATAAAATACAAAAATTGTTAGCTACAAATTTATTTTTACTACATGGTTTATCGAATTACAAATAATAATAAATAATATCATTCATAAATTATTATTTTTGATCATTTATATAAATCAACCTGTTTAATTCTATTTATAATCTGTTTTTTAAAAGTGACATGAATACAGTGCCATAAAGATAACATCAAAATTTAGTTTCTAATTATTATATAAATCAATTCCAATAAAAACATAGAAAAAAGTAAAACATTATGTTCTATTTACCTTCAACTAGTTGAAGGTAAATAGAACATAACTCTATTCAATCAATTACTCCAATCAATTAATAAAAATTGCTTTCAATATAAAATTATTAATAAAAAATGAAGTTATTAAGTATACTTTGTGCAATTTCAAAATTAAAAGATGATAAAATTTTTGTTGCAAATAATTCTTAAAACATCACAATGAACAGATTTCAATTTAAATTGAAGAGCTGTTGTTATTATTTCTTGATTATCTGAGTATAACATTGACCTTGATAACTTACTAAAATATTAATACAACTTTTAAAGAAACTGAACATAGTTATAAATAAATAACTTCTATATCATTTCACAGGCTCAATTCTTTATATAGTTAAATAGCCTTTGTTTTCAGATCAGATTTTAAAATAAGATTTATTGAGTGTAAGAAATTTCAGGAATTTGTATTTTTTTACAAATATCTCAAGCATAAAATTATAGATGGCAAAACAATCAACATGAATGACTAAAAGAAATTGCTAACTCTAAGAACTGAAAATATAGCTTAAGTTTTGAAAATTATATATATAAGAAAATAGATAAGACAAATTTCTAAAAATTCTTACACCATATAAATCTTATTTTAAGATTTGATTTGAAAAACAATATGTATGTATACATGTATTATATATATATTATAAAATAGAATAAACTGGAAATACAGTAGAGTCTCGAAAACTCGACCTAATGTGGAACGAAGGGTGGCCGAGTTTGTGAAAATGCCGGGTTATTGGGAATGGGGTTAAAAAAAATAAGTATGAGTGTTTCCTCAGAAAATACTGTACTGTACTTGTATGTATTGTTTACTTGAGAATACAACAGAGAATAAACTGCCCAAATACCCTTAAACAAAGGAAAAGTATGTCCTTTATGAAGGCATAGAGCCTTTACCACATGAAAATGAAAATTAATGAATACACTGTGTATAGTAATTTACCTGATAAGACAGACCTCAGAAAAATACTTTATGAGGCATAAAGCTGTCTATAATGAAAATTAATTAACTAAGGATTTTTTTGCCCTGCCAGGGTGTGGCCGAGTTATCGAGTGCCAAGTTTGAGACTCTACTGTACTGTACAGTTTTGGTTGACAATCTAGGATGGTAACAATGTTTAATTTTCTGTATTCAATGCAATTTAGTCTTTCTCTCTTCTTCATTCCTCTTTTATGCCAGGAGAACAGACAGTGAACAACATGAGATTGAGGATCAAATGAATCCTTTTCCAGTCTGCTTAATCTCTTTTTGATCAATCAATGATTTCAATCGTGCTTTATAAAAATGAACACATCATTACCAAGAAGAATAGTATCTCAATAATTAACATTTTTAGAAAAAGTATTAGTAATTTTTAGGAAGTTATTTGAATTTATAGTGATGTGTAACTTGTTCATTCCCTTACTCTACACTATACTTTCATGCTTTTACAGAACATGCACTAAAATTTTTGACTGGCAACATTGACAAGACTGGTAGCAATGTACTTTTAATTTTTTTCAGAGAGAAAGTAAGTAATTGGATTATCATGAAATTTTGTGCTTATATCAAACAACAAACATACAAATTTATACATAAATATATAAATTTTTCTTCTTTTGAATAATGTGTAAACTACAGTTCTAATTCTTGTAGAGAATGAAGATTATAATACCAAATAGAAATCATTACAGAGAAACCTTAAATTACTTCCAATAAGTGTTTATTTATGACTAACATTTTTTATCTGCAAAAGAGATCAGGTCAGAGTTCTAAAATGGAATGTGAGAAAAGAACATGTGTCGCTTTTTTAAAGTTTGGAACTGTCTCTGATAGATAAATAGGGATATTGTTTAGTATCTTTATACTTGAATTAAAATAAATACAATGCTATAAATAAGTTTAAGATTAGATAATAAAAAATATTATAATGGTACATATCATTTAAAGAATCTTAAAAATTTTATGTGACACATGTATATACTGCCAGACAAATGATAATTGTTTTTCATTTTTGAAATTAATACACTAACCTCTTTTTTTAAGATTTAAATACAGTGGTACCTCGGTATACGTCTGCTTTATTCTAAAGCAGACGTATACCAAACAGGACATATTCCGAACTGGACATATTCTATGTCCAATTCGGAATACGTCCTGTTTGGACGAAACAAATTTTGCACAGTATACGACTTTTGTTTGGTATATGGCATAAATCAATTATACGCGCCATCAATGAACAAGTAGCACTATCGGTGTACTAGACCAGACTAGATGTTCGCAGTGCAATGGTTTATAACTTTGTTAAATTTCTTCTGATTTTAATTCGTAAGTAAAATTTTTATTATTTTTATTAATCATGAATCGCAAAAAGGCAAATGAAAAGTGACAGAAAACTAAAAAAAATGACTAGAATTACAATGGAACTAATAAAAGAGATTGTTGAGAAATATGAAGATGGCACGCGTGTTCGAGATTTTAACTGTTGCCTACCATATTCTGAGAACGGCGATATGGACAATCGTGAAAAATAAAGACATTATTAAATCTGATAACGTTGCGAAAGGGGTTAAATCAATTTCTAAACAGAGATCGAAGATATTAGATCATGTCGAGAAATTGCTTTTGGTTTGCATAACTGAAAAACAGTGCTGGAGACAGCGTATCGGAAGCAATTACAGTATTTGCGAGAAAGCTAAAAAGATACACGCCAATCTCACGAAAAGTCAAGCAGGAACTAGCCAGGAAAGCGAGGTGTTTAAAGCCAGCCATTTTTTTACATGAGAATGGATTAATCATTTTTACATTACTTCTTATGGGAAAGGTTGGTTTGGTATACATCCAGTTCGGTGTAAGTCCAAACACTGGGAACGGATTAAGGTTGTATACTGAGGTTTCCACTGTATATTCAAGTGCTTCCATTGTTAAAAAATTTACACACCTGAATTATTTACGGTGTGATCACGCAAAAATCGGTAAACAAACATTTTCGAACCCCTTCTGGGCTCTGCTTCAGGTTCCAATCAGTTTCTACCAAAGATGTTCGATATCCGTTAGACGTATAAATCCGTTCGATCATGTCGTTTGAAGCCTGAATTTGAGTTGTAAGTTCAAATGTATTCCGACAATCCCATTCGCGCATGCACGAGCAGTTCACCCGTCAGAGTTTGATGGGTGAATTAGAGCGTGTTGTGAATTAACTCCTGCCAGGCCATCAATAACAGCATCTCCTCTTTAAAATTTATGCACATGTTGGTGGTGGAGGATATAAATATGTGCATAGCCTCTAGCCATTTGAGGTGTTCAATAGGAGGCGAATCGTGAAGGAGAATGGCCTGGGAGAAGTTCGCTTTTATGTCCGGATCGGTTACATACGTAGCGAGGGCCGTGGAAGTTCTTCTGTGCCGAATATCGGCTAGATGCTCTTGTATTCTGACTCCTATAGATCGTTTAGTGGAGCCTATATAAATCAGATCTCTATCGCACCTGTTGTCCTTCACGGGGATGCTATAGATTCCAGGGCGTCTGATGGGGTTGGGAGGGTCCTTTCCATTACGTAAGAGGTTGAAAATGGTTGGACACCTCCTAAACGCTAGACATAGCTGACGTTTGCTGGCAAGCTTAGCGTATAGAGATTTTACGTACGAATTGTATGTGATGGCGATACGTTTTATTTCTTCAAGACGGCCGTCCTCGATTTGGTCCGATTCTTGCGCACTCTCCGAATATATATGTTGTTGATGTTGTATTAGCCTATGTATATGTTTGTGATATCCGTGTTGTGCGGCAACGCGGAGTATGTAGGCTAGTTCGGTATCCCGAGCCTGGATGTTAGATGAATGCGTAAAGGCTCTTCTGATTAATGCTCTAAAAGCTGCAGTCTTGTATACGCCCGGATCACATGACCCAGTCGGAATATATGATGATGTGGATCCAGGTTTATGATATACCGACGTATTGATTCCCGAGCTATCAACCTTAATGTTTATATCCAGAAAGTGTACTTCTGATGGGTTAGATTGCTCTAATTCCAGAGTCAACCCATACGGGCTATTGTTGAAAGAATCGACAAAGGTAGTTGAATCTGGTGTTGTTTTCCAGACAATGATGATGTCATCTATATACCTCCTATATAATTGGATGTTGTGGAGGTATTGAGGGAGGACCTTGTTTTCCAATTGCCGTACCACCATTTCACACAGGTCCCCAGAGACCGGGCTGCCCATGGGGACCCCTTTACTCTGTGTGTAGATCTTGCCATTAAATTGGAATACCGAATTATAGCAAATTAGGTGCGCCACTTCTAGCACCTGGTTGTGTAAAGCTGGGTCCCCGACAATACGAAATAGGATGTCTCTGAGTGCACAGAATGCTGGAGGTAGCTCAATGGAGGGGGTAGAGGGATTTCCGTGGATATCCGTGTAGTTGGCTATCTTAAGAATGTTTAAGATATATTGATGATATTTTCATACTTTGGCGTGAAGAGCCTAACCTACGATATTTTTTAAACAAGATCAACAATAACCCTTACGGTTTAACATTGCAGCTTGACCAGAAGAGCGACTCCATTGTTAACTTCCTGGACATTTCCATTACATGCAAGCAAGGGGAAATCTGGACCGATATTTACCGTAAACCCTGCTTTCAACCTGTTATCATCCCATGCCAATCAGTTGATCCCAAGCATATCAAATTGGCGGTTTTCAGATCATGGATTAAACGTGCTTATACGCATTGTACAAGTTTCTGAGACATGATAAGAGAGCTAAAGTACATTCTTAAGATAGCCCAACTACACGGATATCCAAAGGAAGAGATAGAGGATCTTATTTCATCCTTCCAATCCACTGCACGGAATTCTCCCAGGGTTGACCGTAATAAAAGAATAGTGCTTAATTACATCCCATTTTTGAACAAGATACACAGATCTACAACCAGGTCTAATAACTTTCACATTGTATACCGGCGCAATCCCACTATTTTCAAACTTTTAAGAAACGATAAAAAGAAGGAGAATCGAAATTCAACGATGGGTATATATTCAGTGCCTTTACATGACCAACGATTTGATTCCAGGCTAGTTTACGTGGGTGCGACGATGCGCGGTCTAAAGCAAAGGCTCAAGGAACACAAATATATGATCGATAGGAACCTTGATAACACTGTGTTGGCATCATACGCAAAGCAGCAAGATATTAACGTGGATCAAGTGGCAATTATAAAAACGACAACTAATAGGCAAACGATCGAACATCTGGAGAGATTGGAAATCTATAAAGCGCACATGAAAACCGGTTGTATAAACCATAGAGACGCAGACTCATTGTCTACTGCGTGGAGGTCCTTTTACAATTATTAATTTTTCACTATTTATTTGATTTATTTGTTAATTTTTCATTAGGGCGTTTTCCGTTAATTTTTGTTTTTTGTATTTATTTCGAATGCATTTTATGTTCTATATTTAATAATCTATTTTTGGTAACTGAGGATGATCGTTGAAAAACGATTGAAAAAAAAACGTTTTTATTTTATTAAATTTTGCTGGATTTATATTGGTGTAGTTTATTCTTCAACTTCTACTTCCAGTATGTATTTATTATATATGCTAAAAGAGACTCGTATAACACGGTAAAACGTCATCGCTGACTCGTATTGCTACAGGATTGAACCAGTCTGGACCAATAGCGGATATTGCACAAACCGTTGAGTTTAAACAAGCACTGGACCTACTAAAAAACATTTATTATTCAACGGCCATAAAAATTATATTTTTATTAATGATGTCTCCAAAGTTCAGCAAATTTTTTGCAGAAAAATAACTTATCAGAAAACATGCGCCCGCCTTTCGATGAGCTGCTCCGTGATGAAAATTCAAGCTTAAGCAATGGCGTCATCAAATGGTGCACACTTGGTAAGTAATCCTACAATTTTTTGTTTATAGCATAGTTTATATAAATTATTCCGAAAAATTATACGTGTTTTGGAAACGTTGAGTCAAATTAGTCTAGAATCGATTAATTTTATGGAAGAAAACCTTTCAAACAGCTGTAGTCCCTAAACTGCACATGTGCCGGGCCATGATTGGCTCATGTATTTAAGTGACTTGTACAACATGGAATTCATATAACACGGAATATATCTACTGTGTTATAGGAAGGCCTACTGTATTGAAAATGATAAAAACAAGAAAAAATTATACTTTAGAAGTTAATCTAGTATCAAAAACATTCTGATTCATCACAACACACGTCCTGACCAATGTTCTCTCTAAGCTGCGCGGCCGCACACTGCTCAAATTGTTGCCACGCACGAGAATTTATGAGCCGTGCAGGCGAGCATGCACACCGATTTGAATTGTTGTTTACTTATTTCTCACTCTGTCTACAACATGATTATTGCTGTGTATATTTCGATTAAATACATTAAATCATTGACAAAAGATAATATTTTGTATAAAAGTGTTTTAAAATGAATTTTAATCTCTATAAATAATTATTTTAATTTTCATAGGAAAAAATAAGATTATATATATATATATATATAATGCTCAGAATCTGCTCAGCAAAAACTTTTTTTTGCTCAGAGAAGTATATGTTCTGCTCATCTACAAAAAAAGGGGGGAACATTGGTCCTGACACACAGTCCTCAGAAAAACACCACACAAAACAAGCAAACTCTTTCTTTTTCTTGGGTTTATCCGGAGATGTCGGCTGCTAGGGTTATATTTCCCAACATACTGAAGTAAAACACACCACTCACGATGGGGGAAAAAGCCTTGTTTAAATACTGGCCTTAAGTACCCTCTCAACATGTGTCGCGCTGAATCAACATTTTTGATACTACATAAAAAAATTATATTTCAGGAGTTAATGTTCTTATATTTTTCAATATATTTATTTTGTTTGTGCAAAATAAAGTAATAATTTTTAACAATACACTATGGTCATGCCGGTGCTGCCAGCTAAAACACACACACCAACAAAAATAATATTGAAGTAGCCCAAGACAGTCAAATATTGCAGTGCCACAGCACTAGTGGAAATTTGAATTTGCTGACTGGATCAATTTCAGTTAACTGATGTTTTGGTTGATCGGTATTCAGATAATCAATGCTCTACTGTATATACTAATTACATCAAAAACTGTATAAATTGAGATATTCTCACTTTGAAATTTTCCACTATTATATCATCTACATCATTTTGATTTTCCAAATAGTACCTTCCCTGAAATGACATGTCTTTGCTTAAATGATTTAAGTGAGCCGTTTGATGGATTAAAGTTTTAAATATGAAGCTCCACTGCAAATGTGAATGCTAGTTCCTGTAGCATTGAGCTGGACACAAGCATTTATGTTGTACATTCCCTGAAACCTTTTCAGAATAGCAGCATTTATCTCAAAATTTGTTTTGTATTTCTTACTTTTCTGGAATGATCACCATTTTCATTGCCTTAACCCTTCTCTACCCTGATGTGACAATGTATTGTCAGTTTGGTTTCAGCTGAAACATATGGAATGACGATATTTCGTCATTTTGAAAAATGTTTAATTTTAATAAAAAATTCTCTGCATCATCTAACTTTTATTTGGTGATATTTTATTGCTTCTCACTGCTTGTAACTTATATATATATATANAAATTTTTATAAAATTGTTTTTAATATTTAGTATGTTTACTTATAATGATAAAGCAACTTTCTCTTTATAATTATGAAAATTTTTATGATGATTCACAGATGTGCTGTAATATCTTAAATTTTCAAATGAGATTTACAGGATTCCAAGTAAAAATACTTGTTTGCACTGTTTAATGTTAAAATTGATTTTTAAGACGAGTTGGTCTAGACCAGGTATGGCCAACATACGGCCCATCTAATGAATTTATGTGGCCCGCAATCAATCTTTCAATATTAGCTACTCAAGTACGAATAGCTCAATGCTGATGCCTAAAAAAAAAAAGTCAACAACTTACTGTGCATTTAGAGTTAACACTCCATTACAAATCTCAGCATAGAATGTTGATAAAGCATGATAATGTGAAAAATGTATCTGTAATCTCTATCTACAATTTAGTCTCTATGGGGTGACACCACAATGAGATTTGCACCACCTCAAAATCTTCCTAGGGCAACCTCTGGTTTGACCTGTGGAAAAAGTTTTCTTTCCAATTTGGCCTGGGGGCAAAAACTGTTGGCCACCCCTGATCTAGACATTCATGGCTCGAGTGAATAAATTAAAAATTGGTTAACTAGTGACAATGATATTTGTTCAGCTTATTTGCCAAACCTCATTTAGTATTAAATACAATGGAGTTAAATCATTTACAAGACATGTCCATTGCAAAAAGTGTGAAAAAAATGCATCTTCTCATTTATCTTCCCCTCTCCATGGTCATTGCATTGGCCAACAAAGCAGTTTCCAAAGATGCCAACCCAACATGAGATGATGGGATAGTTCTTTAAGTAAAAGTGAATTAATTAGTTGTAATTTCTTTGAGGGTAGTGTTGCAATATTAACTTTATCCGAAATAAGATTACAAATTTATTTTGTAGTAAACAATAAAAGCATGCATTTCCATTTATAAATGGAGAATTTCCACATTTCTTTCGAAAGAATGATTCTGGATTCCCCAATCATTTTACATTCTTCAGCTTGATGTTTATTAATTAATGAATGTACCATGTTCGTATTGTAAATTGTTTATTTTAGTTTATAAAAATAACTCCTGATCCCAAAGAATTAGAATTGGGAATTTTTGGTAGAATCAGAAAAAACTTCATCATCCCATCACTAGTTTAGACTTTGTCTCTTTTATTTATTTTTAATAAATTTGAATAAAAAACTAAGAGCTGTGTTTTAAGCTAAAAATTGGCCACCAAGTCAACCTTGGGGCAATCTGTGGAATAAATTTGGCCTTGTTACTAATCTAAAGAATAAGCTGCACTCATTGCACGAGTTTCTGTTTCATTACATAGCTTTTACACAGTTAACAAAAAAAATTTTTATTGCATAGTCACATTATCAAGAGCACAGTTCTAATGACCCCACTGAAAGCAACTTTATATATTAAAATAATAATTTCACATTAAAGAGTAAAATTGACTTAACTCTGACAATAAACAAACCTGAAGCTTTTTAAATTGAAATCAATTCTTGAAACTTACAATCACAATACAACATTATCTGATCTTTCTTTCAAGAAAGATATGATAATGTTGAAGATCTTTAAAAATATTCCACCAATATTTTGGCAAACTTTGTTTAAACAGTTTGAATAAAGGGTATCCACATTTAAATTGGAGCTGGTCACCCATCTTGTTTCTTTGCTAATCTACAGAATCAACTTTTAGCCACCCAAATTCAGTTAACTTGCTTGACTGTTTATATCAAAGATTTGTGTTCGTGCAATATATCAAGGGTAATGTAATGGACTAAAGTGCATTTAATCTTGAGATTAAAACTTGTGCAACCAGCCCTAAGTTACTTAAGAAGCAAGATGAATAAATAACTTTTTGTTAAAATAGTATGAGCAACAATTAACTGTATAACTGTTTCTTGTTTTAACTGCTAAATCAGTAATGCAAGTCCAAATTAAACAACTTTCAAAGAATGGTAAATGCATATAAATATGAAAGAAAAATAATCTTAATGAAATAAATGTTTTAATATACCCAAAACTTGAATTTTAATAACACAATGTTTTTTAGAAAATTCCAAATATGATGGAAACAAAGATTTCAACATATAGTTTTGTATTTAAATATTAAATTTAAGATTACTTAAGACATAATAATAAGAAAAACCAATGAAGTTTAAACTTCTCTAATATTTTACCTTATGATTTCCATTTCTGTTATGAGAATGAAATGAGTTATTTAATCTACGCTTATAGGAATGAGAATTTCCTCTGGTATTATTGGTTACATTATTCTGAAATAAAATTTTTAAAGTTTTATATATATATTAATTCATATCATTAATATTAATATACACCAAGAAAGTTTTATATTGTACCTGAATAATATTATTTTGAATCCTCTTCCTAGATAAAAGTGCAGCTTCTCTAAGTGCTTCCAGATCTTCGTCATCATCAGTTTGATTGGATTCTGTCACGGTTTCTGCCTGAAATATTTATGATAAAATAATCTTTAACTTTTATCTACATAAAACAATCGGTTAACTTATTTACAATCATTGTAATAATAAATTGATTTATTTTCTATATACAGTTAAACTTGTCTATCTCAAACATGTTTGTCTCAAAAACATCTTCATCTCGAAATGTATTTTTTCCCCTGTATTTTCAGACTAAATTCAATATATTTTCCATGTTTATCTCAAATAATTTTCCCCAAAACCTCTACATCTCAAATTATAAATTGAAGTGTCAATTACAAATTCAAAACTCAGCAAATACATTTTGATAGCATAAACTGTAGTTGAAAAACATCTCTTGCAATACAGTACCATTAGCATTGCTTTTCTTGAATTGGTTACGAGTTTGGCTTGTGTGTTATTGGTCAAAGAAAGTCAGGCATCAGAAACTATTGACGAACTATTTCTGTTGAGATATGTCAAAAATGTTTATTTTATAACTATTTATAACTAATACAGGTATGTACTGTACTTGCTATTGTATAAATAAATTACAGTAGCAAGAAAAGTATAGTTCTCCAATCAAACATATTACTGCTTACTAGGGTTTCGCCAACGGGATCCCGACTGTTTTTTAACCCAGGAAATTCTTCTCATCCTGGGAAATCCCACTAATTTTTTAAAAATTCACTTTTTTCTTATTTTGTGTTAAAGTTGAAAAAATTTTGCAAATAGAAAGTATAATTATTAACCCATAAACTGTTAGAATACATTTGTATTTATTAATTTTAAGCCTGCTTATTAATTTTTTATATTTTTGCATGTCATATATTGTCAATAATCAATATGTAGCCTATTTGTGACAGGACTCTGAAGATTCCTTACTTGTCAGAACCTGTANTATTATTATTATACTTAATCTTATTTGTATTTATTGTATTTACAACTAAAGACCTGGAATTTTTCATTCAAAATGAGTTTTCTAAAGTAGATTATATTAATTTGAATCCACTATATAATTTACTACATACCATTTCTAATACTTCATTATGTCGTCCTTGCTCATGTAATAAAATTAACATCTTCTCTACAAATGCACAAGTTTTACTATTATAAATGATTTCAGAAGATAAACTGTGTTTTAAGTCTTTTTCATCTTTTACATTTGAGGAACAATATATCAGACATGATTTACAAAGTTTTATTGCTGCATCAATATGGCCTGCTTCAATGAGGGATTCCACTCTAGTTAATAACAATTCTTCAGGTTCAGAACTGACAAACTCTCCCACTGAAATAAAAACAAATTTTAAATAATTGATATTTTAATTAATATATTGTAAACTTTACAAATAAAACTACTATTCATTTTTAACATTAATCATAATTCNTATTTGTGACAGGACTCTGAAGATTCCTTACTTGTCAGAACCCATAATATCTGGAATAATTGTGCTTATGCTGTCTTAATTTTTAACCATGCCCAGTAGTTTCAATAAATGCATTATGCCAGGTTGTGCAAATTGGGCCAGGATATTGAGTAGGAAGTAAGCAAGTACAATAAGACCCTACTTAATACTGATTTGATATAACACGGTCTGCTCGAAGCCTAAAAAAGCGCAAAATTTACACTGATTTAAATTATTGCAGCATTTCACTGATTCATATATAATACGATTATTTTCAAACATGAACCAATCAGCAAAAAATGGCAAAAAGGTGTACTTTCTTTAAATCTATGTTTGTTTGGTGCAATTTTGTGCAATTTTGGAAAAAATATAACATCACGGATGGCATAGGAAATATCGACTTCACTTGGCAAGAATTAACTGATAAATGCACAAAAGTGTGGAAGAAGTTATGGCTGAAGGTATCCAAGAATTCTCAACGAGAAGAGTCTATCAGTGTATCGTTAAGGTGACCAAACTCAACCTAATCAATATAGAAAAACAGGATATTGAGGAGTTACAGCAGGTTTCTGGCGAGAGCCTTACCAATGACAACCTTCAAGAAGTGGCAGAACATGGAATTCATGTGAAACTAGAAAATAAAGATTCTGAAAATGAAGAACCCAAAAAATTTCTCTACAGATTTCCTTAGTAAAAAAGTTTGGTAAGATAACCAAAATCATTGATCAAATTGTACTGAATAATCCAGATTTTGAAAGGAGTGCAAAAGCAAAACGAAGCATTTTGGATGCGATCTTCCGCTACCGACATTTGCTTAAAAAAAGAAAACAGCGACAAACGAAACTATAGGACTTTATCACAAAAAACAAAAATTTCAGAAAAGTCAGGATCTTCATCACAAAAAATGAACTTTACATTTTTGAGTGCATATGTTTATGTGTTATTTAACATATATTATTATAAAAATTAATACAAAAATAACTTAAAGTAAAATTTGTTTATTTTTGGTCATGTGTTTCCCTATCCCTATCTACTCTATGTTAAAATGACATTGTTTAATGCTGTTTCGTTTAGTGTTTTGTTGTCTAGGAACACATCCCCATGTTAAGCGGGGTCATACTGTATGAAGTTTTTCTTCATAAACCCAATTATTAAAGACAAACAAACTGCCTAATTATTGGGCTATAAGCTTGATGTTTCTATTAAGGCAGCTGAGATAGACAAATCAACAATACTACAGACCAAAAGTAGTACTACAATCTCAAAAACAAACTAGAAATCTTCCAGGCTATAGGTGAAAAAACACACATTTGTCTTCTCTTAAATGCATTAAACATGATTCAACTCACATCAATTGAATTGGAAAGGGTATATAAGGATACAATTTAGTAATGAATAGTCCTCCATAGTAAGACTTTTCATTACTAAAATAAGAATCAGATTGAGTGATAGGAGTATTGACCATCTTTACTTTATAAAATCTTATAAAAATTTACAATAATATTTTGTATTATGTTTTATTTAAAAATGAAACTTACCTTTTAAGTTAGAAGTTTGATTTAAGTTCATTTTTTAAAAATTTTCAACTCAATTCAAAGCATTTTTTTTTGTTGTAAGCAGTTTCCAGCAAACTTTAATAAATTTTTTCTATTTGTGAAAATTTCTATGTAATTCAAAGGTAATTTTTAATATATATNATTTTGCTCTTTCCAACTGATTATAATTAGGAAAGGGAAAGGAAAAAACCTTTCTTTCCTTTCCAGTGAGACATGTTCAACATCTGAATTATAACATATTAAAGAAATCTAAAAATTTTTCATTTATTATAAATTTACATAAATCAAACAACTAGACTAAAAAACAAAATGAATCAAACTAGTTAAACAAACTAGTTAAAGAGCATTTTAGTTTAATCTAAAATGATCTTTAACTAGATGTTTTATCATTTATTCAAAAATAGAAATTTAAATATTCTGAAAATGAGTATCATCAATTTTCAAGTTCTAAAATTTGGAACTTAGTATAAATGCTTTATTATATTCATATAATTTTCATTTATCTTGGTAGTAACCTTGAAGTTTGGTGAACTTGCCCTAGAAATTGAACAAGAAAGTGTTTGAATATATTGGCATAACAGAGAGAGACTTAATGTCATATTGAACACTAGAAATATTATACTGAGGAAATTAGCACAGCCTTAGTTCAAGTATACAGCAAATGAGTTAAAATTCACTGGATCAAACTAGGATCCTAGAAATTTTGGGCAAGAATGAAAAAACAGCCAAACTCTTTGTAGAGATTGTAGAAGATTTTTAAATATTAAGTTATTCTTCATTCTTTCAATTTTCTTCATTAACTTAATTTATCTTTTATAAGAAACATTCATACTTATTTTGAAATAAGTACATTTAAAAGTATGGAGAAAAAGGAGATTATATATATATATATATATATATGGATTGTNAGCAGGCAGTCACTATACAGAGAAAAACTCTCTCTAAAATCTATTAAGTAAATTCCAGGTCAAAAAAATTAATCACCGTAGAAAAGTGATCACATTGGTAGGTTCCAATGTATAGTGTTTGGGTGTAAGCTTTGAGTGTTTACGATGGAGAATGTGTGAGCCAAGTAAGTCTTGGCTCACACATTAAGGGTTTTACAGTATCTATGCATTTTAGCAATGTCTTTCATGTGTTTTAGTTCTTTTGTCAATGGAATCCAAGCAATGGGTAAATGACTTTTTAGTCAGGTTTTAAAGGCTGCTACTTGATGAAGATCTATGAGATCAAAAATGTTAGTCATAAATAAACACTCACTGGAAGTAATTCAAGGCTCCTCTATGATGATTTCTATAATGTACAAATTTTAGATTTATGGTAAAACTTCTAAAACACAAAAGGAAAAAGTAGAGAAATCCAAGAGTACAATTTTTTTAAACAAAAGCAATAAAAATAATGTTTATAAAGATTTTGAATTATTAAGAAAGTAATCACAAAATTTATAAATNCGAAAAAATTCTACATCTACATATATTCGACAGCATTTTCACTTCAATTTCATCCTTCCAGAAGAGTTAGACCAATTAAAAAGTGTGCAATGTAGCTAGCTACTTCAGCCCTTGTTCAGAAAAGAAAAATACAGTGGAACCTCGATTATCCGGACCTCTATTATCTGGATTTTCGATTATCCGGATTGTTCAAAACAAACAAAAATTTTACGAATTTGCTGATTTGCACTTGGCAAATTATGACACTGTTTATGTACGTGATGGAATGCATAACATTTTTTGTTTCAACGTCTCACCCTGCACAGTGGTCGTAAACTCAAATATATTTTGCGTCGTAATAAAAGTATAACTTGACATACGTATTTATAAATAATTTATATTCAAATTACATCATTTCTATGACCAAGGGCGGCATAAGGCATGGGCAACGTGGGCCACCGCCTATGCCTCGTGGTCCGAAGGGCCTCGCACCTCGAAGGTTTATGCATCACTTAAAAGCCGAGAACGCGACGAAAAAATTTTACTCGTCATAAAACGATAAATAGTTTGTCAAATTTTTATTCATTAAAATGCAGTTTCAACTGCTTTTTATTTTATAAAATCCGTCTTCTTGAGCCACCAGAGGGCNTATATATATAGAGTAACCAAAGTCATTTATCATTTAATTAAGATGAATATTACAAAACAGTAAGATGCCAAATAATATACAGTGGGTGATCAGTTAACGAACATAATCCATTCCAAGACTATGTTCGTTATCTGAATTGTTCGTTAACCGATTATCGATTTACCATAGGTTTTTATGAAAATTTGATTAATTTGTTCCGGAGACTCCAAAAAATAAAAAATAAATACTTTTTTACTACGTTTATTTATATGTAATAGTAAAATACATATATACGCAGTCTTGCATTTTTATTATTTGTGTTTTTTTCCAATTGTGGGGGTTAATGAATCTATCCAATGTCGATTGCTTTTCTCTTTTCTTCAGGATTTTTTGGAAGTAATTAATAGTATTGTAATTGCAGAGATCCCCAACCCCATTAATTTTATTCTGGTTTGGATGCCACTTGGATGATCGTTGTTCTGACATCCCTGGAGTTCTTCTGTTGTCAGATCAGTTTCAGGTTCCATTATGAGCTCTAAAATGCTCTTTATTTCTCAGATGTGATTTTCATTACTCCATTAGCAGCTTGAAACTTCTTGATATATCTTTCATAGCTAAGAGTGTGCCTACTGCCATACTGCCTAGTGACATCAGACATCTTGTGCCCATTTTCTACCTTGGCTATTATCTCTTACTTGGTTTCTATGGTGAACATAGTTCTTGACACTCCTCTTTTTAAGCTCCATAATATTATCAGTTTCTTTTTTAAATAAAAAGATCAGAAAAGCACTTATGAAAATTCAGAGAACAGAAATCAACTAGCCCACAAAAAATTATTTAAATGCAAGGCCCAGATGAAATTCGAAATTTGGTATTAAAATGTTAACAAATATCTGATGGGACAGTTAAACTTTCACCTTTCATAGATAAACCCTGACGCAAAACTTAACGAGTGCCCATCCGACAGTCTCGTGAAGACTATAAAAAATTATTTGTCAGAAAGGTAAAGAAAAAGCTGGAATTACAAGGGAGAGTTTCAAAATTTGGAGGGATACTATCTGATCGGTATCGGGTTGAGTGTCAATGTTGACGCCTCTGGTGCTCTGTAGGGTTTGAATTGTTACCTGAAGACAAGGAAAAATCAATTGGTATTTGTTATTTTCCGTCACTTCTTTTTATGTTTGTTTGGTAAAGTGTTCGTTATCCAAACATGTGTTTGTTGTCCGATCATAAAAATCTTTCGCAAAAGTGTTCATTATACAATTTGTTCGCTATCTGAACTGTTCGTTAACCGATCACCCACTGTATATATATATAAATGCTTATTCCTTTATATATAAAGGAATAAGCATTGAAAAAAAATGCAGGATTGTTGGAATTGGAAGCAAATTTGTTGTTAGTGGAGATGGACTCAGTAAAAATGGATAGACTAACTCCTGATTTATTATGTATTGTACTTTATATTAAGCTTCTAATAAACATATTAACCTCCTAACTTGCATTTGAGGATGTTCCTATCATGCAAGAACTTATTTTATGGTGATTTCCCTGCTTCACAATATTTCTTTCCATATCACCAATTAAGGAGTACTGCAGCACCATAAGCACTTCCTTCGATATGCCTCTGTATCAAGTCTGATGTCCTCATATATGCATATTGTATAATTTGGAATTTTTTGGAGTTTTTTAAATTTTAAAACTGGATTTTTTCATTTAAATAAAAAAATAGCAGTAAATTTAAAATGCAGGAGTCGCAGTCGACACATTTTTTTCTGATTCAGACTCCGCTGGTCAGAAATTCCTCCTGACTCCGACTCCACAGCCCTGTTATTAAGTTACTTAAAAATGAAAAATAATTATATCATTCGAATTTAAGATTTATGTTGTATCTTAAAAATAATTAATTATATCCTGGGAAACAGTTATCTTTTCTCCTGAAATACTGTGACAAGCAAAATACCAGGAAACAAGAAACCCTACTGCTTATTGTTTAGAAATCTCTATATGTAGAAACCTGTATATCTTGAATTTTTTCTTGTTCCCATGAGATTCGACACAGACAGGTTCAACTGTATATATGTGTATATATATTATAATTTTTACATATTTTCTGTTAAAAACATAACTTATTTATTGTAATATAACTAAAGAAAGTGCTTTCTACAAGATACTGTATGACTCCATTAAGTTATGCAAGTGATTTCATAACATAACAAATTTCTTTATGTATCACAAAATATTCTTTGATACTTCTCTTTTTTGGAGAAATTGCTTCCCTATTGTATCAGAGGGAACAATTTATGCATAAAACATATCTGATATGTCCATTAGTTTTAGTTTTAAGCTTTAGTTAAGCATAGTTATAACATGGTATTTGAAACTATAAATGTATCACTTCACAGATAATTTAATTAATTTTGTAAGATACTTGTTTATAGTTTAATCCTAAGTATATATCAAGTAGAACAAAGAAAAATTTAATAATTAAAACTTGTTTCTAAGTATCATTCAATATTGTTTAATTTTATTTGATAATATTGTGTTAATATTAAATGATATAAGTTTTAAACAAAATTTCAGATACACTTCATTACTGAATTAGAGAAATATAGAATTAAGGCATACAAAAAAATATATATACCGTATTTACTCGCATATAGGATGAGGTGTGACTTTAAATATCAAAATAAAAAAAATTAGATTTATTAATACAATTCTAATTTTATTTTGTTTAATCACAATTAAAATATCAAACGAACGTAAATGCACACATCGTCCCGCAAAAATTATTGGCAATGTAAACTTTAAGGAAAAATCTTGTAAAATCGACAACATAATTTGTTCATGTAAAGCTGGACAATTGGGAACCATTTTTTGCCAACTCTTAACAGTTGACTCCACTAGGGTTTCTCATTTCCCGGTATTTTGCTTGTCCCGGGATCCTGGGATAAAAGTGAACTGTTTCCCGGGATCCCGGGATAGAATTAATTATTTTTAAGGTATACAAAATATCTTGAAATCAAATGATATAATTATTTTCCATTTTTTAAAGTAATTTTAAAGTTTTGTAACCTCCAAAATCATATTAATAATGCTGTGTTAGGTCTATAGGCCTATAATAAAAATTACCTTTAAATAACGTAGAANAGAAATTTAATAAATAAAAATATTTTTAACTTCTATTTTACAGAAATATAAATAAAAAACTTTTGAATTTTTTAAATAAAAAAAATTTACCTGTTGCATCAGAATAATCAATTTGACCTTCTATCAATTGATTTAATGCTGGTTCTCCCCAAGGATCATACACTGCCATGACAAGAACAGTACATAACCGTGCAGCTTTATCAACAAGAGGACCAAATACTTGACTCGATTTGGTTAAAACCTTTGCCATTTGACGTTTCTGAGAGGAAGTTACACGAATCCATCTTCCTGATAAAATAGTTAGGGATGTTTCACTAAAAGTAATAAAATAGAAATAGTTTACAATATGCTAACCACATTTTAATACTTTAAAACTATTTTAAAATGTAAAAAATGTAGTTTATAGTTTTAAAATAATTTCTATATAATTAGATACATGTATTAATGTATCTGAAAATAAAACTAATTTGGGGCGTGTGCCTGACTTTTTCATCTTGGTTGCACTAATCCTAATCTCCAAGATGGTCTAAACCAGTGTTTCTTAACATTTTAGTGATGAGGAACCATTTATCAAAATTTTTGTCTTGCCATGGACCATGAGCTGTTTGGCAGTAATATAGGTTCTTATAAGGTTGTTCTATAAATTAAACACGTAGAAAATTATTCGGAACCAAGAGTATTATATTATTTGCGAAAGTGNTAAAATTGAATATTCATTATCAGACAATTGTGCATGGAATTACATTGCTAACAGTTTATAAGAAAGTAAGTTTCCAAAATAATTATAGGAAAATATAAAAATACAATTAAATTATAAGTCCTAATAAACCTGTAGTAACAATTTTCATTGCAATGCAATTCCATGTACAAATGTCTCTGATGACAACAGTTCCAATGTTTGAAATTACTTGCATTTTAATGGAGAAAAACAACTAAAAAGATAAACAACAACAACAAAAAAAATTAATTTTAGTTACAAATGTTTGAGATAATCAAATATTAAACAAATATTGACATTTTAATAGAAAAAAAAATATATTAGTTTCTGAAGAAATAATATTTTAAAAATAATCAATATTGATAATATAAAATCTGATAAGTACAGAAGAGATTTTAAGGTACAGCACCTCTCCAAATATATAGCTATTTTCATACAAATAGTTCAAGATATACCATTTTGTGAGATAGTACATTTCTCCCAGTTTCCTTCCTCTTTGACAATTCAGCACTTTTTCCTTGTGTTTTTCTGTGTTTTTTAAAGATTGGACGAAGATTCATTTTAAAATTGAAATTAAAATGACAATCTCAAACTGAACGGCTCAGCTAAAAATTAGTTTTGTTTTCTTTTTTGAGGTGCTGATGATGTAAACCAGAACTGTAATTCAACATTTATAAACATACAAATTGTTAAATGGACAGTACTGCCTATTAACAGCATTATATTTAACTATTAATAAAACAAGTGTGTTGTGAATTA